CCTTAATTTTCATGCCAATCTTCTTAATTGTAGACTAATTTTTACTGCTCTGGTTTATAGACTGCTTTTTGAATAGTAAGGAACTCTAGCTATCTCATGTCTTCTCTTATATTTGCCATGAAGGGAATTTGGTCCTTAAGTCTGTCAACTTTGGAATGGCCTACAGAGGGAAAGCAGATAGGATGCTGCCTAAGAAACTCCAATAATATATTCCTCCAAATTGGGTGTAGGACACCCTGAATGCATACGTGCTGGGAACCAATGTGTTACTTATATAGTTTCATGTGGCCCTTACTAAAATCTGCATTGGCATATGGTGCTTATTAATTCTGTTACAGTTGCTTTTGGTACTGTCTGTCCGAAGGGGAATTCTGTACCACAAAGAAGCCTCAATGATTTATTCACTTGATGTGAGGCCTCATCCTCCAATTCAGAATACACTTAGGCATCTGCCTTCATATCTTCCTGTTGCCGATCTTGAGGATACTTCTAGTCATCCATAATCCCTAAGCAAGAGTACCAGAAGTTATGATGTATAGAAATACTTCCTGCAGGTAATAGGTAAAATCCAATGCTCCCAAACACAGTTGGCTGGGTTTCACGTGGTTTTCACACCTAATCTACCTTCTTGTGTGTTTATAAAATTAAGACAGATGTATCTACTCTGTTGCTGAGGAGAGGTGTGTTTAGTGAGAAAGAACAACAGAGAATTAGGAAATGACTACTGAGATAGATCACTAAATGAGACGAAGATACGCAATGGAAACATGGTCACTGTGTAATGTAAAAGGCTTGAGCTGCACAGAGCGCTACTTTCAGGTTCATGTGAGGTCATGTTTGGAAGGCAAATTCATAACAAAAAGGAGCTGAAGCAATGATTTTATTACTATTACTATTATTACCTGTTCTTGTTTTTTGCAGTGCTGGGATTGTGGCATGCTAAGCGAATGTTCTACCACTGAGTTACCCCATAGTGTTTTTGATGTATGAAACAATTTTTTAAAGTATTTGGAAATCAAATACTTGCAGTGATGTCAGTGAGACTACACAGCTTGTCATCTAACAGTCCTCAGTGAGAGAAGCTGTTGTACTCCTCAGGAACCTGTGACCGCACACACCCCTCATCTCTCTCTGGGTTGCTGGAAGGATAAAACAAATTAATTGAGATAAATAATTGTCTAATACAAAATGAAGAGACAATAAATATGTCTACAGCTTATAACAGAATTATTGACATAATTACAAATATCCCCTTGGCTATTAATTCTCAAAGTCCTTTATTGACAACATTTTACTTGCTATAATTTATTTCTGTTTATGTGTAAAGATAACAAGACAATTGGACTATAAATTACACCAGTAATTCATTCCAACTGGACTTCCTTCATTTTAATACTGATTAGTGACCTTCACATGTAATTTTTTTAAGGAAGCATAAAGGATTTATGAAGCAGAATTTTAAAAGTACCTATTCAAAGAAATTATGTGCAGGTTTTCAAGAGAGAAGTGCTCTGTAGTCCAGAGCTGGGGATATTTATGTTTTGAGGGATGGAAATCTGTTGGATTTGTGAATCCATAGAAAGTTTGGGCTCAGTTTACAGGAACAAATAATGATCCATCCATAAGTAGAAAGATATGGCTCATTTTATTGGTGAAAGGCAGGACGTGGTCTAGTTTGTTGTTATCATTTTGTTTTTAAAATAGGCGAATCTGTGATGATTTGTCTCGAAACATTCTTTGAACTCTCTCAGTCTGTTTCTTTATTTTAAGATCAGGCTTCTGTGCTTTCCTTTGTCAACTAAACTAGTTTTATGGACTCGAACTGTATTTAAGGGATTTTGGATGTGCTGGGCCTAGAAGAAAAAAAAGCATAAATATGCCTAGAAAGTACAGATCTGGATAACTGTGGGCAATTGCTCTGGTGTTGCTGTCTTCTTGAAAGTAACAATTTTAGGGCTGAGGATTTAGCTCAGTGGCATAAGCGCCTGCCAATTGTGTGGTCGTGAGTTCGATCCCTGGTACCGATAAAAAAGAAAAAGACAAAAAAAAAAATTAGAAAAAAAGAAAGTAACAATTTTAAATAATTCTTTTCCTTGTCTCCTTTTTCACTTTTCTATCTGGGGACCTGTAACATATGTAAAGAATGTACAAAGAGTTGTTTGTTTTTTTAAACAAAATCTGGAGATATCAGTCAGCAACTACAGAGTACACACAGTGTTAGCCACAGAGACAAATTTGGCACTAAATACAAGGTGGAGGGGGAGAACAAGCTGGCATTAGAGTAGTGCCCCAAGGGACCCCAGGAGAGTCCTGGGAGAGGCTGCAAGGCTGGAGCAGATGGCGTGAGGACGGCAGGTGGTCATGGTAGATGCCACAGAAGGCTGAAGGCTAAATTCAAAGGATCGGGGTGTCCCAGCAGATGAAAGCCTGAGTGGAAGGAGCATGGACAAGAAAGGGGATGAGTTTTTAGGAAAGGGAGAAGAGGGCAAGACAAAACCAAAAATCAGTGAGTTTCTTCTTGATTTGAGTACAGGCTTCCAGGTCCCGAGGATAGCATAATTTACAAGCTATCACCTCAAAGGTCAGTTGAATTCACATGCTTAGGATGTGTGCCCAGCCACCCAAGGAGGAGAGCCATGGCATTAGGTAGACTCAACCTGGAACCCTCAGTTTCTGTGAGTAAGAGAGGTGAGGAAGGGAGAAGAGGGTTAAAAGAGCCAAGTATCTCCTGTCATCTGTTTGTGCCCAAGGATGTGTGTGACTTGTGGAGATAGCTTCAAGTGCCATTCTGAGGTCAACCAATTCTCTCCAGCCTCAGAACTAGTTCTTCCATAGCAGCAGTATGAGAAAGCATTTGCTGGAGATGCTGGGTGAGTTTGTCCTTATTTGTGTTTCCCTGGTGAGTAGGTTTTATTTCCACCTGGCCCAGGAATGAGGTGTGCTAACCAGAGGGGAAGTCTAATGATATCCTAGAGAGCAGTTCCAGACACTCTTCCCATTTCTGATTAGAGGGAACAAGCATTTCATATCTTTAATGTACTTACACGCACTTACTCATTTTCTAGGGACTTGGGAGCCTCTAATTGCTGAAGAAAAGCTCACAGCTGCAGAGAGAGAGACAAACAGAGACAGACAGAGACAGAGAGACAGAGAAGGGTGAGGGGGAGAGAAAAGACAGAGACAGGAAGAGAGAGGGAAGAACAATTGAAAAAGACAAGAGGAATACAAAAGAGCGAGAGAAGAGAGAACGGAGCAAATGAGAAAAGAAAGAGAAAATACAAAATAAGAAAAGAAAAAAGGAAACTAAGCATAGAGGGCAAGGGGTTGGGGAAATAGAGAAAACAAAAATGAAGAGCCTTCCGCTGGACCTGCTGCTATGGCCCTTTACCTCCTGGCTCATCCAAGAAACGTCACCAGTGTCCCCAAAGTGGAGATAAAGAGCTTTGACTCACCCTACCCATGGGACAGGCTGTAGGTTCACTGACTTCCATCACAGGAAAAGAATTTGCGGGGCACATGAGTGAGAGAGGAGCTTCACACTCAGCTTCAAAGCTCCAAAGGTGACAGAGTCATGCTAGCTTTGCAATATCACTAGAAAGGAGAGATCAGTGGGGTTTGGGGTTTTTTTTTATTTGTTTGTTTGTTTTTTAAGTGAGGGGCTATTGGGAATCAAACTCACAACCTTATGCTTGCCAGACACACACTGGTGCTGCTGAACTATATCCCCAGCCCTGAGATCAGTGGTTTTTGTTTTATTTTATTAGTTTTGTTTTGTTTAAATACAAATGGAAGTGGGTACAATAAAGTAAAAGACAAGTAATAACTCAAGCATTTATTAAGTCATGGTGTAAGTCATGCTGCTTCTAAATCATGAATAAAACCACTACACTGCCAGGCAGAAGGAAGATCCCTTGAGCCTGGGCACCAAATAAGGATGGGAAAGTTCATCGTTCTGCTTTCGGTGGAGCATACTATTCATTTAAAATAAAAATTAATCTTGAATCCATTTCAAAAATTCCAGTAACTTGAGTTAGCCTTAATAACCTGGACCTATCAGTCATCTTCTATTTCAACTTGCCAAAGCAGGAAATCTCAAAGGGCTGTGGGGAAGGAGGACTTGGTGGTTTTTATGTTGGCAACATGATTATTTTTTAAAGATCTGTAGGTATTATTATTCCTTTTAGTGGTGAAGCAACCCAAAAATCTCCATTTGTGCAGAAATTAGGATTTCCCAAACTTGCCTACAATGAGTCACTTGCTGAAAAAACACATTCCCAGACTACTCCAGGGAATTAGTACTTCTAATAAGCAGCTCTAATAATCAGACAAGTTTGGGCAACACTTCCCAGCAGTGGCTCTCAGACCTGATTCTTTGCTATCATCTCCCAGGAAACATGAAAATCAACAATTGATGTCCAGGTCCCATCCCATCCCCCATCCCCAGGCCAGTTAAACCAGCATCTTCAGGGCTGGCCTAGCCATCAATACTTTTTAAAAACTGCCCGAATGATGCAACATGTAGCCACGAGTGAGCATGCCTTTGCCTTGGGACTCAGGGTCACTGGCAGACCCAGACTAGTGGCCCTGGTTGCTGAGAAGGGGTTAGCAATGCAGGTTCTCAGGCCTGAGCCCAGACCTCAGAACAGCAACCTGCATCTCAGCAGGGGACCTATATACACCTTACAGATTGACAAGGTTCCCGAGGCATGGAGCAGAGCATCAGTGTTTCAATGGAGAGGACAGAGCCCTCTCCTCACTCCCTTCTCCCTCGGTACCACCACCAAGAAAAGCAGCTTTAAAATCTGAAGTCTTTTTCTCTACACACTTGACCACTGAAAAACAACTGAAAAGGGATAAGGTAAGGCAAAGCTCTGTTCCAAAAATCAGTTACAAAATTATACTAAATAATACATACCTCTGTCATCCAGCTCAAGGCCCCGTTTCTGTTTCACATCCCATAATCAAAGACAGTAAGGATCACTAACATTCACATCCGTGGACTCATTTAGACAGTTTTCTTTAATTAACGATGAAGACACTACAGTTCTAAGTACCAGACAGAATCGGGGGGAGGAGGGAGAAAAGGAAAATAAGCACAACACTATAAAGAAAACCTGGAAAAGTGAAACACTTCTAAATAAAAAATATAAACCTGGCCTCGTACCCATTACATATATACACAGTACGTATGTTATACACATATATACAGAAAATGTTTTGGTAGCAATACAGACCATGCGTTGGTCTCTTGTACACAGATGAAGTAGCACCATGAGCAGCACCACCATCTTCAGATGATAAACCAAACTGCACACATAGAAAATGAAAATATGTATGTAGTTCATTTGGCCTATCCCGTAGCCAAGATGTGTAAGGAAAGTGGTTTGCAAGAAAAAAAAAAAATTGTTCTGGGAACTACATTCTTAGGCCAATGGCAAACTTCTAAAAGGAAAGAAGGGCACTAATGGTGTCTACACAAATACGGACGTTTTCCTGCGTAGCGAATTCATCCTGTTATATGGCATTTTGGTTAACACTGGGGGAAAGAACAGCAGAAGCAATGAGAGGTTTCAATGCCAGGCGAACGGTGAAAGGCTGACACACCGGATCTCTTGGCATGTACAGCACAAATGCCCATGGCAAGCTAGGAAAGGAAGACAGTGCTCCATCTAAGTCATACATTTTCTAATCTTATTAGCTAATTATGTGCTGCTTATGAATAACAAATCTTTTAAGAGTACAGCCAAACACTCCCAAATTCAACCTCTCCCCAGCATCTAGTCTGATACTCTGGTTATAAGCAGTGAGACGCCCAACATACTCTTTGACCCACACATCCTGCAGTGACCCTTAGAAGACAGATTTATAGAGCTATGTATGAAAGGACCTCGAAAATCTCATCTTGGCTTTAGAAATGGCTAAAGGCACCAGCATTAAACCCTGAATGGTATACTGACTTTGCTTTCTGTATCAAGCACACAGCTCTGGTGGAGGCCTTTGTTTCAGTACAGGCAAGGTCAGACTTCCACACGCCCTCTAAAGAGCATGGCTCTCCCTTTGAACTTCTCATAGCCCATACAGTACAGTGCATCAGCTCTAACATTCGCCCTGTCCTGGGAACACTAACTCCGATCACTTGCTGCAAAGAAATCACTGAGTGTGTGCTTGTTTTCCACCCATTCTTCTTTGCATGGCTTCCAAGTGGGTCCTTTCCTCTACCTCAGTCAAGTTCTCGCTTTCTCTATCTCTGGTTTCAGGGCCTCCCTGTGTGATGGACTGACCTACAGAGCTCTGTCAGAGCAGCGTGAGACTGGACACACACTCACGGTCACCAGTGTCACAGCATTTCATAGCCTTCCTACATTTCATGGCTCTTACTGTCAGCGGGACATTAGTCTCTTCTCTCCACCTTTACAACACCTGTAGTAAATAAAATGGAACTTTCCAATCACATGGTATATTGCATTCAGGATGCAAGAATGAATAAAACAGGGCTTCAGTACTGCAGAAGACTGTCTTACAGTATAGCAAAACTGTTTTATAGTACTTCGTGTCACATTTAAAAGACTGCTAGAAGACAAAAGGCAAAGAAATGTTTAAAAAGAAACTCTACTTTTGGCTAGATTGATTCTGAGTGGATTTTATTTTATTTGCTAGTCATTAGATTAGTCAAGAGAGTCCCTGACCTTTGAAAGCTAGCAAGAAATAGCCACAAACATAGCATCAGTACTGATTTGTCATTATTGACTCAGGTGGTCGATCATTAATGGATTCTCCTTGCTCCCAGCTGGTTCTTGGGTCATGTTTTTGCCCAGAATGAAGATATCATCAAAGCCATGAAACATTCATTCTTTCATAAAGGAGAATTTTTAAACTCTGCCTTAGTCTCTAAGAAAGAATTCTGTGAAAGGATGATCTCTTGAAGAAAAAGCCACTAACTTCTAGATTGACCAGAGGTCACTAGAAGCCCCATAATGTATGCTGTTGGCTGGTCTACAAATACTTTGAAATAGATAAAAGCCAACTCTCTGCAATAGGAACCAAACACATGGACTTAGCAGCTGATGTGTTCATAGTAAACTGTTGAGAGTAGCCAGAGCATGGGTTTTGGGCTTGAGTACCAGCAACTTCCAGTTTTAAATCAGTAAAGTCTGATATCGCCATCAACCCCAGCTCAGGTACATCTAGAAGCAGCTTAAATAAGATCTACCTTTATGATTATTTCACTCAACAAAAAGTTAGGTATAGAAACCAAAAGACGGGTTTTCCAGTCTATTCATTTTTGTTTTCACCAAAATGTGTTGAGAATCCTGCATGCAGAGGTATCTTGGCAATACATATTCAAAGTCTAGGTTCCTTGAGAAATAATAACCAGCTTTACAAGAAAATGCGTGGGACCTTTTCCCTTTACTTAAGTCCTCAATGGAAAAAAGCAGCACAGATTGCATTCTTACACTAGCAACAGTGTGAATCAGAATACTTAAAAAAATTGAAAAATTAGTTTGGCTAAGAAGGGCTTTTTTTTTTTTAACAAAGAAGCAAAAAATAAAAAACAAAACAAAAAAAACCCCACCATCTGTATCAGATGTTCAAAACTGATGGTGTTTTGTACTATAGGAAATGATGTAATTCAGCAAGTTCCTAGAAAACAATAGATTCATAGGACTACAGACCTATTTTAGAAGTTGATGAGCATGCAAATGATTAAAATCCGCAACAATGAACATTGTACAACAGTCCGTGAGGTACATGCTTTCTGGTTGAATAAGCAGTAACACAGGTCTTAGGGCATGGAGGTTCCATTTATCCCCACTTCCTTTCGAGTACAGCAGGGCTCCCCAACTAGCAAATCAGGGCAGCAGCCACTGCAATGCCCTCTAATACCGGCCCCTTCCTTGTAGCCCCACTTGGGGCTCAACCTTTCCCAGGTATTAAAATGTTGCTCCTCTCAACAGCAGGGCTGGCAATGGCTGAGATAGAGGTTCACCAATTCAGGGGGAGTCTCATATTTGCATTAATCCATTAACCTTTAGGAGGCTTCCCAGAAAAAGGATTTAAAATTCTGTAGGCAATATCTTTAAGTGTGTTCACTGCCATTTCTGTTTTATAAGGAAAAATTCCACACTCTGTATACTTTCCAAACAAGGGTTAACATTTTTACTGCTAGTCTGATGCTTCAATAGCAGGTCATCATGATTTTATGTGTTCACTGTGCAGTGTTTTATTAACTGATCAATAATAGGCCAGCACCCACGAGGGCAAATGGGCCAGTGACATTCAGTTACAAAATATAACGCTGAAGTTCTCAGAAAACATGAGACAAGGGTCTTAAAGATGCTAACATATACCCTTGATCGTGATTATTTTTTAAAACTTTTTTTTTCTGGGATTTTCATATCTGTTTAGCAAGAACTCACTTATCTTAAAATCCTTCTCACAATATGCAGGAAATGAAATATCATAACGTGTGCACAGAAAAAAAAAATGGTGGGAAGTTTACAGAAGTTGGGGAGGGGAGGGGAGAGAAGAAAAGCTCGACATATCTGGTTTATTATGAATAGAAAGACATTTCCAGAATTTACAAACACCCACATTGTTCATTCCAGAGAGCTTTTGATTTGGCGGGATCACCCAGGTCGCCTTGTCTTTACAATATATACAATGGAAGACTTTGATTTCCTTTTCTTCCATTCAATAGCCAATTTTCAGCTGACACTTGAAAATATCCCAGTAGAATATATCCTTCTTCAATTTAATTAACATGGCCTACTGGCTTACAGGAAAAAATACAAAATTAAGATTAATTCTTGTAAGGAACTCAGCTCAACATCAAGTTTATATTACAAGAGATAGGATCAGCAAATATAACTGTACAATTGAGAATCATCTATGGCACTATGATTCTTATTATATTATTTTTCTGAATTACAATCTTAACATGAGGATCATACCCTACTCTACTCTTTCTAGCCTTGTTTTAAGCATCTGTTCCACTCTTTACAACAGAACATTGTATACCTCAGTTCCACATCCAAAAAAAAAAAAAGAAAGAAAAAAAGAAAGAACGAAAAAAAACACAAGATGTGCTGTAAGAAATGTTACATTTTCATTTAAAAAATTACACATATAAATCAAAACCTACGTTAAATATTTCATACTCTCTCCACCCAACGTGAACAGGATTCTATGAAATAATTTACAAGGATGCTTTGTCAAACACAGTTTCAGCAGCAGATGAAACATATCTTGTAAATGCAACGAGAGGAGACCCCTCTCCCGGGGCATGACGGTGGGCACATCAGCTCACTGTGGCCAGCTAGGTCCTTAAGGTTCATGATGAAGTTCAAACGGACTCATCCTTTTGGTGTCACAGTGCTTTTTTAAAATTTTTTTTCTTCTTTTTTGCTTGGCACAATATAGAGCGTGCAGTTCAGTCAACGAACTCCTGAGGATTGTATTAGGAAGTAAACAAACTGAAATGGATGCATCGTACCATCTACTGAGGAGGAAGATGTGAGGTCCTGGTTGTGAGTCATGAAATAGTTTGGGTACCCATGAGTGAAAGAAGGATTTGCTGAGGTCATTTAGGTCTTCATTCTGAAAAGGAAGAGGAAAAAGAAATCATCGCCATCTCAACACACACAGTCAGTCACAAGTTAGGAAGCTTTCCTTTTAAAAGGGGGCCGTACTGGGTAAACTGAAATTACAGGCTCAGTCAGTACTGCGTACCTAAACAAAATCAACAACCTCTATTTACCTTGTCTTTTTCCTTTCAAAATGCAAGCATCTAAAGCAATCACACACTAAAAGTAGTCAATATTAAATCAGTAAACAAATCGATGTGAGCTGGACATTTCAGAGGCTTAGAAAGAAAAAAAGAAATATTAAACTGTTTGGTGTTATAATTGCAACAAAAAGGTTCAGTATAGCAAATGTGTGAAAGTGCCTCAAAATGTGGTGAACAGGTTACCCCCAGACAGTCTGTGCTCAGTCTTCTCCGAGTTAAAAGTCAACTGCAGATTTTAGCATTTGAAGTTGCAGAGCTTAACATTACAAAATCTGAAATCAATTTTTAATGTGACATTGTATGACACGAGAATTTCAGATGCAAAAGGAGCTGCAAGCAAAGCAGACTTTATTAATCATTAAATAAGTAAAGAAAAGGATTTGGATTTAGGTCTAATAGAAACAAGTAATTCAGGCAGAAGCACACAGGATTTTCTCACTGCAATCCAAGAAGACAGCCCTCAAATGGGTATTACCCATAACTCCCCGTAGGGAAAAGCCTCTTTTTCAACCTCATAAAATATCTTCAGCTTTCATAAAATATCTTTCAGCTTACATTAGATGTTCCCCTCAAAGGTTCGTATTTTTCATGCATTCAAAAGTTATCTATTACATAATCGATATTTATGGAGTGCTTTGAACAGTACACACGGCACAAAGTAAGATAATCATAAATACTTGTGGAATAAAGACATAATTGCATTAAGTACAATGGAGGATTCAAAGTTGAATTCTGCTATAGGGCTTGCCTTCTAGCAATTCTAGAAAGGCAGGGAAGCTCCACGTATACACAGACAGAATGCAAACTAGACGGGAATCAGGATACATGCACTGAGGGAGAAAAGGCCTACATGCATGCAGGATGGGATGAATACTTCCAGCCAAGAATATAAAACAAGTGCCTTGCTGACACTGGGCTTGGATTAGAAGGAAAAGAGTAACATGGGAACATGGGAACAGGAGTTGTGTTGTTGCGTTGTATCTCTAGATTTTAACCCAAGACCTGCCACATAGCAATAATGCACAGTGCACAAATAAAAGGAACATAGCGTATGTCTCTCTGTAGATGCATGATTAAACAAGGCCCAGGGGCATAAAGTAGTCATAGGCCAGTCAAAAGAAGGATGCAGCTTCCCAGCACTGCACCATAGTTGGAAAAGGACATAAGGAGTTAAGTCCACAGATCTAGGTTGGGTTGATGGTGGAAAACTTTGATGCATGAGCCAAAAGGTCTTTATCTAATGAGAGGGACAACAAGGACTTGCTTCAAGATACTATCAAGACCCACGTGAGCTACAAGGATGGCAGTGGTTTCAAACATAACCAGCAGCGTTGACCAATGTAACTTTTTTCCTCTCTCCTCCTTTTGAAGGAGGCAAGCCTGGCTTTGACTCATTGGCATCCATGATTTACATACTTGTAATGGCTTTCCGATGAGTGGAAGTTTACCAAATGAAGACTAGTTTTATGAGGAGGTTTCTGTTTATTTTAAAATATTAACTCTGTCTCTAAAGGGCAGGTAAACAGACTATTATTTTACTTACTAATAAAACTTTGGCACAGAGTCCCCAGTGCAAAAACCAACAAACAAGCCAGGTACAGTGGTACAGGCCTGTAATCCCAGCACTCTGGGGGCTGAGACAGTTAGGATCACAAGTTCAGACTCAACCTGGTGACTTAGGGAGAGCCTGTCTCAGAATAAAGAAAAGAAAAAGGTTTGGGGATATAGCTCAGTGGGAAGGCTCTGGGGTCAGTTCTTGGTACTACAAAAAGAGACCACACACACACACACACACACACACACACTGACACACACATTCCAGGCTGATCCCTTTAATTGCCCGAGAAATGGATTTCCTTCCTGTGGTCTCTAAGAGTGAAAGCCCATCCTTCCTGGGAAACTCCCCAGGCGAGGAGCTCCAGGGCTTTCGTTTCCTTTCCAGTTTTTCTCAACTCATACAACAATGTTTCTACCCAAAGATCCATACACGCTTACACCTGGCCATCACTGCTCTGGGCCTAAAACTAGGCAGAAAGGGCAGGCTGTATTAAAGGGCTCCGACAAACAAAGAAATACCAGATGTAAAATGGAGGGAAAGCAAATGGCACACAGTATGTTTTTCATTTTCTGTATGACTGTCATCCAGGAGGCTGCATGAACAGCTCAGGACGAGAACAAACTGTACCCAGTTTTATCACTTACACGTGCCAACCTGCATAGATGCTCAGGGCAGAGATTGGGGGCCCTGGGAGGAAAGAGGAAAATGAGGCTGAAATCTATTGTTTGGGGCCACTAGGAAGCCATCCCTGTAATTTTGCAGAACTATGTTCAAAGAACATGAAATCAAAGGACATAGCAATCCCACCGTATACCTTCTATCTAAACCCTTCACCTACCACTTTTAAAAGCCCTTTATCACACATCGTGATCAACGTTTGTCTCAGGCATAAATACCACTTATTGGCTTTTCAGAGACTTAGGAATGTATAAACAGTGAAAGCAAGAGGTAAAGTATATGAGGCAACCCTGATATGAGGAGTGGGAACAGAAGGCCGCGGATGGGAGCAGAGGCCTGGAACAATTTAATGGAATATCTGAACTTCGCATCTGCATATGTGCGTACATACGTCAAGTGTAGCTACAGGAAAATGACATGGGTTTTAAACAGACATCTCTGTGGGATCTGTTCTGCAGCGGCCACCTTGGGGGCTGCACACTCATTCCAATCATGTAGCCATTGTCTGCAGCATTTTTGGAATGCCTTCTCAAGTTCCCATTCCTTCTTTGTAACCGCCCTGGGCATATTCTTTTGAATGGTCTCTATAGGAGCCAGCCTGAACCCTTAGAGAGCATATTTGATCTTTGCAGACAGCCCAAAAGCTTTGAGAGCTAAATATGGTGAATAAAGAGGCTGATTAAGCAGGGTAATGGTTCCCAGTGAGGTATTATCTAAAGCAAAAGAGTTCCAAAACTGAAGTTCCAAAAACATAGCTGTTCATGACAGTCACTCTGATGAATTAGTTGGAAAGGAAGTCTAATGACTTTATAAACAGAACTGAAAATATGCTTTATGGGACTAAAGTTCCTCTCCCCAACCCCTTGTCTCCACATGCTTGCAATCTAGGAAGACTGAGCCTGAATAAAGCAATGCTTTTGAACAAAAGCTATGAGCTATATACATACATTTTTTCATTGAGAAATATGCTTAAAGAAAAACACTAGCTTCCTGCAATCATTCAATTCAATAAGTATCTGTGACAAATATAAATGCAATGATAAACAGTGTAACATGCATCAAAGAAGATGACACAGACATACATGCATTCAACATATTTTACATACACAACTTTGAATGGCAGACACTAATCACATGCAGCCAATATTACTACAGTGATTCACAAATACAGCAGCTCATCTGTAACATGCATAAACTAGAAGTTAAAAAAGCAAACTATCTCTTTAAGAGAAGACACCGTGCAAATATCAAGTGGTGATGTTCTGTGATTCGTCCTCTCTAGTTCTATCTTTGGGGAATAACTCCTGAACCCAGAAATATGATGCACCTGTCACGAGACTTAGGAGCAGTAAACTACATTTTGACAAAAATTCATCACCGTCTCAGTATCTACTGTACCTGTCTGTGTGTATCTCTTGGTAAAATAAAACCCACCTAATCCCATTGCCAGTAATGTAAAATATAATTTTAAAGCATTATCAAGTAAGTCAGCACTTGAGCAATGCTACTTGAGACTTATGGATCATTATATTATTGCATCCAGTAGGGATTTATATCTTCTAGACTACTTAAACTATGCTTACCAGAGCTGAAAAACAGATAAGGCATTTGCTTCCTCCCACACAGCTTCAGCCTAGTTTCATCTGTGAAAGTTACAAAGATATATAGTGGAAAGACCTGTACCCTTTCAGCAATGTGTTTTTTAGTCAAAACCACTGGCAAGTGTTTTTATCCTGTATTTTCATGGCTCACAACTTGTCAATTTGTTGAGTCCAGTGCAACATAGTAGTAAGTAACTGATCAGGACATTACTAGCAGTTTCTATTCTTACCAAAGAACAGCAGTACAGTCTTATACATTGCTTGACTATGGCCATATTCTAAAATGGAGACAAAAAGAAAAGTTTCCTCACCCAACTGTGTTTTAAAAAATAACAGTAGCAATGGCTTTTCTCCAATGGAGATCATTGTTTGAAATCTTATACTGTAGATTCAGATAGAAAAAATCATATAATTAAATTCCTTCACTTGAAATGTATCAAAGTATCTTATTTCTTTCATTTCGCATAAATAGCTGTTTTTAAATGATATCTTCAGTATAATACAGACAATGTACAAAATACTGGGAAACACAAAGAAGAAATAAGCTCTATTTGAAATTCCTGCCAACCCAGGAAAACCACTATTTATCTGTAGTTGTAAGTTCATTATTAACTTGAAGGGACTATACTTTTGAAAGCCACACTTAATGTCAAAAATGTTGAATAGGAAAGGAAAATAATATTCAAATCATAATCAGATTTTTCTCATTCTTAAAAATCTGTGATGAGAAACTATTCAAAATGTTAACCCACTTTTTCAAACTTTACTAGTACTCAATTCTTTTCTCATCCTCTCAATTCACTATATACAGTTAGAAAGTAAGAAAAGCCTCTGGCTTCCTGGAAATGGTTTTCAAAAAGCTTAAGTCATTCTGGGAATGTTGCAGACAAATTTTGAAAGAACACAGATGAGAAAGAATTTTCTCAGAGGAGAAGGTTCCCTTCCCTAGAACAGGAAGGAATAAAGGTGGAGG